AGGCGTGTCCACATAGTGTTTATTTGAGTGTCAGAGGAAAAGCTTTGTACCCAGCTTCTTTTGGCAGAGTGCTCCACCGTTGGTGTCACTGTTCCAAAGCACATCTTATTTCAAAATTCTGAACTTTTCAGGAAGACCTGTCGGTCACTTTCTCTGGCATCCAATCATATAGCGTGTTATCACCACCAGGGGTGATGCTAGGCGATCATGCAACAGCAGGTAGAGTGTTCATATGTTATAAAAATGTGGTCATCACAGAAAAGAAAATCCCACGTTCTTCATCCCAGCGTTTTTTTTTTTTTTTCACATGAAGTTCTTTATACCTATAGACATTTATGTACAGTATATATATGATGTCCTGCTATACCCACCCCCCCATCCCCACTCTCACCCAACCGGCGGAGGCAGATGGCTGCCTGCCCTGAGCCTGGTTCTGTCAGAGGTTTTTCTTCTCTTAAGAGGGAGTCCAAAGTCCTTTGCTGAACATCAGGGCAATGAACGTTGCTGAAATAGTGGCGCTCGGTTGTGATTTGGACATAATACACCAACACAGAACAAAGAACAGAGAACCCAATCTAAAGTTCCCTTTGGATTCCCTAAATCCGAGTCCGATCGGAGACGAATGCTAATACTGCATTCCACAAGAAGAACATGATACCAGCAGTGAAACATGGTGGTAGTGTGATGGTTTGGGGCTGCTCTGCTTCCACAGGACCTGGACAACTTGTCGTAATTGATAGAATCATGAATTCTGCTCTCTATCAGAAAATCCTCCTGGAGAATATCCACCCATCAGTTCATGACTTAAAGTTTGAAGTGGCTTGAACACAACTGAGCTGCTGTGGCAAGACCTTGAAAGGGAAGTTCATGCTCAAAAACCCTGCAGTCTGGCTGAATTAGAACTATTGTGCAGAGAAGAGTGGGGCAACATCCTCTATGGGGATGTAAAAGACTGATCACAAGCCATCACAAACATTTAACTGCAGTTGGTGCTGCTAAGGGTGGTCCAACCAGTTGTTAGGTTTGGGCGGGGGGATTACTTTCTTAGAGGAGTGATATAGCTTTTGAATAAATCTTCAATATATCATCATTTAAAACTTGCATTTTGTTGTTTTGTGAGTTATCGCTGTTCAATATTAAATTAGTTTGATGATCTGGAACATTTAAGTGTGAAAAAAATATGCAAAAATATCAGAAGGAGGCAAATATTTTTACACAGCACTGTAGCTGTCTACTGTCCAACAATGTCGTTTATAAAAACAGACATAAATGTAATTAACATTTGTCTCCCTATTGATTATCTGATGAGGTCATAACATAATACATCTGAGTGTTTGAGTAATAGAATTTACTATGTATTTAAGCGTATACTGGTACAGTCCGTTAGATAACAGCCACATGGGACAGCTTTGTTGTTATTATGAGAGCTGCCCTCTTAGAGTTGTTGGGTCAAATTGTCAGTTGGGAGAACCACAACCCCTGCTACTTTTTCCTAAGCCCCGTCCAAACATTCATTCCCTTCTGTTAATCTGATGTCAATTTTTACGCACTTCGGTCATGTTTCTGTAGAAGTTGTGCTGGCAGCGTTACTCAGTTAGACCTCCTAACGTCTCCTATCACTTTCCACACAGCACATGTCTGAACTGAGCCGTCACATGACCAGATAGACAGCGACAAGTGGCGTCATCCTGAGTTGTATGACGTGGTATTTTTCCACATTTCAGCATCCATATTTGTCAGAAAACATCACAGAGAGGCTTTAAATACACAGTTTGTGTGCCAGAACTATAGCACACCTTTGTCATGCAGTTTGTTCTACAAATTCAAAATCTATTATGCAACAAAACAAAATGTCCATAATAGGAAAACCTTGCTACGATAAGATCAGACGGCAACAGTTTAAAGATCAGCTCACCATGATGAATGTAACTCAAGTTAGCAAGACGTTAACAGGAGCTTTCCTGAAGCTCATAGACTATAAAAGATGGACGTAGCTACCGTGACGTCACCCGTTGGTTTCTGCACTGAGAAAATGAAGCCAGGGTTTTGCTACTTCCTGGTTGACATCTTGGATTNTGGATGGATCCTCATGATCAAACTGAATCTATGTTTAGTTTTCTCCCCTACTTTTACATTCATCATTAGTGAGCGTGACTGCCATGGACGGGGATAATTCCTGGATGACTACAAGTGAATTAGTGTTGGAGCATAATCAGACCCCGTAATATGCAAATGCAATGCGAGTGCCTTCGTATGTCTGCGTTCGCACAGTCATGTTCGGCTTTGGTTGTGTGGTGATGTTGCACAGTTCTGTCAGATACATCTCTTTTTGTCCTGTGTCACTGTAACTCACTGGGAAACGGTAAAACTCAGTAATACTGCCATGGGGTTTATTCAGATGATGAAGTATACATCTGTGTTAGTCACACACTGAAACACCCAGGGGCCTGCTAAAGAAACCTCCTTGTAGCTAATGGTTCAGTTATCCCACTGACACAAGCTTCCAGGGTAGAAGTTGCACTTTTCTCCCCACACTTGCTAAAATGCCAAGTGAATTAGGGTACGTTTAGCTAATTCAACAGGAAGTATCTGGTTCATAGAACTTATTAAAATATTAAAAGGAAACGCTCTATCCTTTCTTGACCAAACTTTTTTTTTAATAAACATACAGAGTAAATACGGAGACCGTCCATGACGTTCATGAATCAAAATTTAAATATTCTTACAAATTTAAAGTGTATTTTGAAGGGGCAGGTTTTTATTTGAATGCTTTTTTTGTCTTTTGAACAGCACGTCTTTTAGATAATAATGCAGGTCTTGGTTCACTCAGCATTTAAAACCTGGAATTACAGTCAGTGTTTCATTCGTTCACTGCCAAGCGATCAGCTCTATCGGTCAGTGGGTGTCACCTTCAACACGCCGTTGAAACAAAACTTGCCCTCTCTATCAGCGTGAGTCAACAGCCTAAACACTACTGTACTAGTATGTACATTTGCTGGCCTTTTAGATTCTTATGAGGTGCATTTTTGTACGACTGCTCCTGTCTGCCGAGCATCGACTGTGGCTCTGATAACGGCGGGGCTACAGGCGACTAATGCTGGATGGAAATGAAAAGTCTGTCTCAGGGCCTTTTATCTGCTGTTTATTGTTCCAGTTTACAGGGTTTCCTTTTTTAAATAATATTTGTAGACGGTGAGCAAACAGTGACCTAGTTTGTTTTCTGTGTTTTTACAGGTACAAGCATTTCCTGCAGGACCTGGCTGCCAACACAAGTCCAGACAACCCAGAGTTTGAACAGCTTGCTCGTAAGTATCTTTTCCAATCGCACCACCGTCTTAGTGATTGTTTTGCTGCATTTCTTGGGAAATATCTGCAGATTAACCCTGAGTGCTTTTGTTGTGGAGGAATGTGTGTCCATTTGCACGTGTGTGAAGCTCAGGTTAATGTTGTTGACATCTTCATTGGGGTCTGTCAGCAGCAGCAACCTCAGGACAAGTGATGAGTGTGTGATGATGTGCTTTACATTACTACTCAAAGTACTTTGGCTCAGTCACAGTGTAACTCGTCCTGCGTGTTCTATACACTTTGGAGAGTCACAGGAGAGTTAAGCACATCTGTACGCTTACAGAGGGAAAGACTAGTCCTCAAACTTGAAAAGCAAGCAGGAAGGCTACCTGTGAAAACTTCCCTCACCAAAGACTGCTGTATTGAAAATAAACTCTCATTATCTTCATTTGAGAAAACAAAGGAAAATGCTTTCTCCCCCTTTTCATCCCTCATTTGTTGTTATTGTCACACCAGCACTTGGATGGTAGAGAAATGAAAGCAACGCAAAGCTCCATGTGCGTGTAAGTACGAGTTTGATGTGGATTTTTTGACATAATTAATTGGGAGCGGATCAGAGGATATTTAGCGGGGAGCTATATAAATAAATAAAATCTTCAACATCAACACAAATCTTGATAATGACTAATTTCAATCGTCAAATAAACAGCAAATCTGACTCAAGTGCGAATGTACACAAGGAATTATTTATGTGTATCAATTAAAATCTCATTGCTGATGTGCTGCCTTTGCTTACAAATTAAAACAGCCTCTGACTCTAAGATGAAGGTACATATCTAACTGTGCCCCGCCATCGCTTCTTCCTCTTCTCATTAGAGATCCCTTTTTTAAACTCCACTGCTTTTTATTGGGGGGTTGGGTATATGTGTGTGTGTGTGTGTGTGTGTGTGTGTGTGTGTGTGGAGAGAGAAACTTCCTGGAGTCGTTTTGTAAAGGGAATTATTTAAAAACAGAAATTCCAGACAAATCAGATTGTATCTGATTAAGCAAACTAGCAGATAGACTCACGAGAGCCTTTGTTGTTGTTTTCTCTCGTTGTGCTGCTCTGTGTCAGTTTGCTTTTCCACTCATTTGTCTGTTTTGTTTTGGTTTTTACCCGAGCTTCCTTTTTTCGCTCACGCTGGATTTAATTGTTGTAATTGCGGCGCTTCAGGAGTTTTCAGCAGCGTGCTTTCATATGACGCTCTCGTGCCTCACTCTGCTGTAGTAACTGTAACCAAGTGTGACCTGACTACAGGCAACTCTCCAGCTCTGTCTCAGATTTACCAGTAAAAGTTAGCAGTGCTCGTACCATGGTCAAACACTATCTAAACAGAGAATTAATGGAATAAAGAGCTGTAAGAAGTGGAAGATGTCTTTAGAATGTCTAATGGGCTAGATGTATTATTAATGCCTCTGTCAGAACTTAGCCCAAGAATACTGTAATTAGGAGTTGTTGTTTTTCTAAAACAGGCAACGGAAAATATTCCTACCACGTACAACAAAGGGAAAAAGTCTACACGGACGCCTTGTTTGGTTTACATTGTAATTGTTGTGAAGTTAAGCGAGCCAATTAGGCTGTGATTATTTTAGTGTAGTCAAGTCGCCCTGAGGATCAAGTTTATCCGCTGAGTTTCAGTGCTCAGAACAAAAGCATGAAAGTTGTGCTTGAAAATAAAAATCTCTGTTTGTTGTTATTTTGAACACGTTAATAATGTGGTTCTAAATGTTTACAGCAATTATTACGGCTGGCACACAGTAATTGGATGCTTCTGTCTATTTTGATGATTTGCGTGTTTGTTCTGGGTCACAGATTTTAAAGCTTTGTACAAGAAAGTAAGGAAGGTAGTCCGACAAAGAATTCCTTACATGCAAATATATGATGNGTTGCCTTTGGATTCCCTAGCAAGCAGTCGGTGACGGTTGGGAAGGAACCAAAACAAAAAAGAAAAACTCTTTAATGTGGAGAGAGAAAAAGTCAGACAAAACGCAGCGGGTATGTTTGCACATATGCTGTCATACCTTTCGGTTAATTAAAACTGCTGGCTGGTATTTGTTCATTTTGTTAGCGTCACTCACATGTCATTCATTCACAATACTGAGGTGATACAAAGAGCTGGTGTAGAAATAACAGCGTACCAGTGGTAAACATACAATATTGAAAATAGACCTGGTTCTGTACTGCCTGATGATGATGAGCGTTATGTACCAGTAGCGGGGTGGGATGTTCCAATCTGCGAGCAAATGTGACACAAAATCTTTTTTAAGAGTTTTGATGCAATTCTGGAAAATAAGACAGTGATTTATGTTGATATGTGCTGATAGGAATAATTTACCACTGACTTATTTTGCCATTTTTGCTTTATCCTTTTGGACCATAAGACGAGAATCCAAGTGCAGGAAAAAAAGCATAGACTGTATAAA